CTCTTATACACATCTAGATGTGTATAAGAGACAGCCCTCACCCTTTGTGCTTTTGTCGATTTCCCCCCCCCCCAAAGTAAACCTCTTTTGTCACCTTTTTGTTCTTTTGTCGGCCCCCCCCCGTAAAAAAGAAGTGACGTGAGCGCGGGATCGTGGTTTCGCCTCACACGTAGGCAAGGTCCCACCAGCAGAGGCGATTGGAGTAAGCGCCTGACTCTGGACGTTTATTACGGCCAGATGCAGAAAAGCAGATCAATGGAGATCTTCGGCACATGTCCCCCGTCACTTCCACATTCGGGCATTCAATCCAATCCTCTTTGCCGACGCGACCTCGCCAGCGGACAGCACCCCGATTGTTCTTTTTCTTTTTTTTTTTTTTTCTTTTTTTTCTCGTTGTACGGAACGGAAAAGGAAGGTGTGATGCCTTTCTCGGCCTTTTGGCTGGAAAAAAGGAAAAAAAGCGAAAAAGGAGGGGTGTGTTAAATTTAAAAAAACAAAAAAAAAGGGGGTCCTTCGGGACATCCGTTAAAATTGGAACGATACACAGGAGGGCCCCTGCGCAAGGATGACACCCATAAATCGAGAAATGGTCCAAATTAAAAAAAAAAAAAAAAAAAAAAAAGGGTGTCGACCGGGTAAGCGTGCAAACCGGAGTACACTTTGCTCACACTTGAGGGCTTCGCAGAATGTACGTGACCACAAAAGCGGACATATTCACTCCGTTCCGAACGTTGTAGTGTTCTATGAAAAGAAAATGGTGGCAACTGACCTGCCCCGCAGGTCATATCACTCCCCCCCCCACCCCCAAAAAAAAAAAAAAAAAAAAAAAAACCAGGTCAGATCACAGTTATTTTATTCTGTTTCGTCCTGTCGCATCTGGATTCGAGCTGATGTGGGTGTACCAACTGAGCTGGCTTTATTATTATTATTATTATTATTATTATATATATTATTATTATTATTTTATTATTATTATAATATTATTATTATATTATCTACATTTTTTTCATTGGTAGGTGGTAACTGAGATCTCATTGATCTCATTCCCTAAGGGGGTGACGAATGCGTATGCGTCCTCTACACGCCCTAGAAGGACCTGCGTGGCTGAATGAATCTGCCCGCAATTGTAGCCATTATTAGCGAGTAGTGACTAGCATTCCTCGGTTTCCCACGACCCGAGGAGCATAAAGCGAATGCCATGGTGGACATCTCGCTGTACAATATATTCTGATTTGTTGCGTGATTGTGGGCCTCGCTCCACTGCTCACCAAAATGAGAATGAATCTGCAGGTAGAACATGGGAAGATACACCGGCAGATATTTCAATTTGTCTTTGTGTGCATGCGGTGAGCAGTGGTAGTGGAGCAAGGCGGTCTACCAGATCGGGTTGCAGGATTACCTGGATTTTCCTTTTATTTATTTTTATTTTTTTTTCGAAAAAAAGAACTGAGAACTTGAATTGAAATGTACGGAGAGGAGAGGAGAAATGTGAATGCTGACGAGAAGAAGGAAGAGGAAGAAGAACAAGCTAAGGGCATACTCACACTACGACTTGTTTACGTATTTTTGGACGGAATTTCGGCCAGATACATGCAGGTATGGCCGCGAATGAGGTCAGATACATTTGAGATACGGCTAGTGTGAGTACACCCTAAGATCCGTGGTTAACGACATCGCCGGTCTATGCTCGCCGCTCTGCTACTCGACATTACTTGCCATTACTCTCCGCTTCGCCCTCGCTGTTGCAGATCCAGAGAGGTTTAGATCGGCGGAGGATAATCAGATCGCCAGCGAAGAAGAAGGAGAAGAAGAAGGAGGAGGAGGAGGAGGAGGAGGAGGAGGAGAAGAAGAAGGGGGAGGAGAAGGAGGAGGAGAAGAAGAAGAAGCAGAAGAAGAAGCAGAAGAAGCAGAGGAAGAAGGAGGAGGAGGAGGAGGAGGAGGAGAAGGAAGAGGAGAAGAGGACGAAAGGAGGAGAATGGCGTAAGAAGAAGAAGAGGAGGAGGAGGAGGAGGAGGACAAGAAGGCGCAGCAGAAGAGGAGGATGAGGAGGAGGAAGAGAAGGGAAGAAGAGGAGGAAGACGAGGAGCAGATAGGAAGAAGGAGAAGTCAGACGAAGACGAGGAGCAGACACGAAGAAGAAGAAGAAGAAGAAGAAGAAGAAGAAGAATGAAGAATGAAACAGCGGCGTAGTCTGCTTATCGCACATGCTTCATCAGGAAAAAAAACAGTACTTCTCCGCATGCACAGTTCTCAGTAGAAACGCGCAAATTCCCCGACGCGTTTCGGCCAGGTTGCGCTCCTGGCATTCCTTAGGGGGCTTGCAGCGATGGCATCCTTAACGGTAGAAAGGGTTCGTAAGGGAGAAGGCAAGGAGCTGCTAACGGACAAGGCAAGGAAGTGCTAACGGAGAAGCCTTCTCCGTTAATTGCTGGCCCGATAGGAGAGAATTGTAGAAGGGTTAATAAGGGAGAAGGCAAGGATCTGCTAACGGAGAAGGCAAGGAGCTGCTTACGGAGAAGGCAAGAAAGTTGAAGGAACTGCAAACGGCGGGCATGCCGAGGCAAAGACTGCTAACGGAGAATGCAAGGAACGGCTAACGGAGAATGCAAGTAACTGCTAACGGAGAAGCATTCTCCGTTAACTGCTAGTAAGTTAATTGGATAGGAAGAGAATAACGGTAGTAGGTTTAGTAAGGGAAAAAGGCAAGGAGCTGAATAACGGAGAAGGCAAGGAGCTGCTAACGGCGATGCCAAGGGACTGCGAACGGGCGGGATGCAGAAGAACGCACACAGTCGGGCACGATTAGCTATACTCAGCAGGTAGTCGGTGGGCGCCGACTCCGAACGATTGCTGCAGCAGCTGCTGTCGAATTGGATCCATTGTGCAGAACAGATAATGATATGAATAATAGCAAGGAGCTGCTAACGGAGAAGGCAAGGAGCTGCTAACGGAGAAGGCAAGGAGCTGCGAACGGAGAAGGCAAGGAGCTGCTGACGGAATAGCGATATGGATAATGATAATAGCTACGAGAAACTGGGTATGGAAAATCGCAGAGATCCTGGAGGATCAGAGGAGATGGAGAACATGGAAGAAGAGAAAGAAGAGGACAGGAGATGCGTTCGCCGGAAGGTGTCTGCCATTTGCATGCCGCTCGTCGTTATGGTACGCGGTTGCTTTCCTTCTCTCCTCCCTCTCTTTGGCTTCTCTCCTCCTCTCTCCTCCTCTCTCCTCCTCTCTCCCACCCCCCTCTCTCTCTCTCTCTGTGTCGCTTTGGCTTCTCTCCTCCTCTCTCCTTGAAGTTCCTTCCTTCTCTTCCTTTCTCTCTCTCTCTCGCTCCTTCTCTTTCTCTCTTTCTCTTCCTCATCCTCTCTCTCTCTCTCTCTCTCTCTCTCTCTCTCTCTCTCTCTCTCTCTCTCTCTCTCTCTCTCTCTCT